CAAAAACGCACCGTTCAAGCTATCGGTAAGAGATCTTGTCGCAGCAGCCTAACACAGCATGGGTTACCTTGACGAAGAGGTGGAACCCTGAAAAGGTCCCTGGGAATCGTGCAATACAATTACGAAAGCACGTATTCAATTTAGGTCGAGCAATGTACGTCATTTTCTGCAGGTTCCCCCTGCAAAGTCCTATTTCCCCCCTAAAAACCTATCAGGTTTTTAGGGGGGAAATAGGCCTATCAGAAAGAGCCTATCGAAGCGGTTTATTTCAGGGCCGCTTATCTCAGCAGCCAGGTCGCATTTGTCTATTTTTAACGAAATTGTGTAATAAAATTACTAAAGTGCATAGTTATTAAGGTTCGAACGGTGCAGTTTACTTTCCGAACGTTCCATCGATGACATACTTCGCCAAAACAGGCACCGTTCACTATTTTGGATATAATTTTGTTAAATTAGAAAACTATCACCGCTTCTTATTCTCATAACAGAGTCGCATCTCACGTATTTACTAAAAAAATTTCAAATACAGTGACATAAGTGCATATTCATTCACAAGAACGCTAATCCTTGTTTTGGCCTTCGAGAAAGCAAATAACACTTCTGTGGCCAAAAGAAAGCTTGCGAACCTTTCGACGAGGTTAAAGCCCTTTTTGTATCTTGCATGTCGTGAAATATTGTGCCGGGCAAACAATCTAAAACTGAAACAAATCCAACAAAAATTGTGATCACGGGAAAAAAAAAAAGAAATAAAAAGTTGTTTTTATAAATGCAAACGCGAAAATGTAAAGTGGTCTTTCCCGCAACCTTATAGATGCTGCAGAGAAGATACAGATGCAGGATATAATTCGGAGATGTAAATAATTGCCTCGCTGGAAACCTCAGAGAATTAAGTTATACGTTATCCGTTTAATATTATTGTTAGCAGACACTTTCTACTAGATATACCTCAGGTAACTTTTGGAAATTCAAAATTTATGGGTGACAAATTTACAAGACGGAGCCGATGCCACGAGCGCGAGCATGTGGCCCTGAACAGTGCTTTGACTGCACGAGCGCGCGTGCTTGGCAGGGACGCTGAAAGCCCGGAGCTCGCGCTTGTAGCATCGGCCGCGTCTGGGCTTATGATGAAATGGAATACAGGGATTGCAGTTATAATAAATAAAATAAAGTAAATAAAATCGAAAAAAACGTAGTTTACATATAAATGTACGTTCGAAATTGTAAAGTGCTCTTTCCTGTACTAATTGTAATACTACAGTGAAGCTACATTTGCAGGGCAAGAGTTGAAGATTTAATTAATTATGGGAGGGCGCTGCGGGAGCAGCCGTCGTGGATGGCCACGGTTTTCTGCGCTCCGTCAACCTACAGCCCTATCGCCCAAAACTTTCGGGCATCGATCTCCGAAAGGGATCGATTTTGATCCAGCAAGCGATCCGTCAAGCGTGGATACCTAAATTTTCTCCCCCCCCCCCCCGAGTGAGGCCATTTTCACCACTTTCTCGACTCGACCACGCCGAGGCTGAGCTAAGCCTAGTGATCGCCGCCGAGTCCCCGGTGCAAGATCCCCGGCCACCGACGCTGCCGCCATTGAAGTCGTCGTCGAAGGTACGGCTATCTCACCGGTAGAACTCCAGCAACCCGGCTGGCGCACGCTACTGCACAGCAAACGAAATCCGCAAGTCGCACCGAAGAACAGAGGCCCAGCAGCCGACGAACTCCGACAGGCGAACGGTAAGCCTAACACCGCTACTCCGTCTCGCCGTAGCGGCCCGCAAATCCCGCACCTACTCAAAGAGCACTACAAAATTGTGCTCCGTCCTCGCGACGGTTTCGACGTCACGACCTTTAGCCCTGCCCAAATTGGGACCGCTTTAAAAGAAGCAGCTCGACACTCAGGAGCAGAATCCACCTCCAATATTCTCCGCGTAGAAGCAGACGTAACCTAACTGTTCTCAGCATTCCGGATCCGGCGATTGCCGATCGGTACGCTACTCTACAGGCATTCGTGATGACCTGCAACAAGTATGCGATCTCAGCCTACTACCCAGCGGAAGATCACGACAAGGGCGTCATCCAGTAAGTCTCCATTGAAGACCATGAACCCACAATCCTCGAAAACTTGATCGCCAGTGGTTACAGCCCCCCGATAGCCGGAGCCAGGCGGCTCGGCAAGTCCGAAACGGTGCTTATTATATTTGAGGTCCGGAAGGTACCAGATTTCGCCTTCTACAATGGGGTCTGGCTCCGTTGCAATCTATACAAGAATTGAGTGCAAGTTTGCAAGTTACGCTGCCGAACCGGGCATCTAACTGACATCTACCCCACACCGGAAGTCAAACGCTGCCCCGGCTGCGGAAAAGAGAATCCCAACGAGGACCACGCGTGCACCCCAAATGTCTCATATGCGGCGGAGCCCACTTCTCCGGCTTCAAACAAAGTCGCAAAAGATTTGAAACTCCATGCATCGTCAAGCAGCGCATGCAGGCTCCAACGACAAGCACAACAGTCCTACGAAGACACTCAGTCCAACAATGTTCAACCCAAGGGCCGGTCAAGGGAGCGACACGACAAACGGCAACATCCTCGTCCTCTTCCTCCTTCACCTCGTCCACCAGAAACAGAGTAACCAGCAACACCTCATCCAGAGGCCGCAGCCACAGCTGAGGCCGCAGCCGCAGCAGAGGAACCAGTAAAAACGAAAGCCGAAGCCGCAAGCTCCCCAGCCGCAGCCCAAGGCGCCAACCGCCAACAGAAAGAGCGAAAGGTGAGCTGGGCAACAGTAACCTCCCACAAACACGACTCGCACAACCAAGAAATAGCTCGACTCATGTTAGAAAACATAACTTAGACAGGACATGCAAAAACTCGCAGATGATATCAAACGCATGCGTACATCATCGACAATCAACCAAAGATCAACAAACAAATCCAACATGTTCACCAGAACGCCCACACAAGCACGCGACAAACACTGATTTGGTACCACTGGATACGCAAGGCCCCTCGTCAAAACGGAAAGCAGTTACCTCAATTAATCATATTCCTACACCGGTCACACCAACCCAAACGGCACCCACAGGCGAGGAGGCTCTCAAAACAGCACTCATTCAAATAATACCAAGAATCCTGCAAACCTTGCTCACAACCGCCCTCACCTCAGTTAATCAACAACTGCAAGCCATCAATTACCATCCTATTCAATTGAAAGAGAGCGTAAACAAGTGTGAGACGCGCATAACAGCGCTTGAGCAAGCTGACACCATTCAATATGTCAGAGCATCCATAGCTACAATCCTACACCCACACATGCCCCAACAACCACAGTCTACTTGCTGCTCACGTACTCAATCACCGCACAATTCCCGATCCCAATCACCGCAAGCCCCACCCACTCAAATCCCCCAGACCCATCATGGCGGGCCGAAATAATTATCTAATTTGGCAGTGGGACTGAGGGAGTTTTCAACACAAACAGGGGAATCTCTAACAGTTCCTCCTCTCCTTATAAAATAAAAACCAAAAACACCTAGATGTTATCGCTATAGAGGAGACCAAACATAAAGCTAAAGTCACAAGCTACATGGCCTACCATGGAGAAGAGCAAGGCAGCTGGACGTCAACCCTCATTCATAGCGACCTTACAGCAATACAACATTCCATCGATCCTAGCTCCGCATCTGGAATAGACCACGTATTTGTAGAAATCATTCCCCGTAAAAAGAATGACGAAAGTCTTTTTATACTCAATCTACAGTCGCCCACAAGAAAGCATGCATACACAAATTCGGACCGCTATTTCACGTCGCCACGCGTTTAGCCCAAAATAGATGGTCGGTGATTTCAACGCCGCACATCCGGCCTGGGCCTATTCCAAGGAAAGCGACAAAGGACGCCAACTTTGGCTTTCTGCGCAACAGGAAAGTCTCATGATCCTCACAGATCCGGACCTACCTACACCAGTGGGGAAAGAGTGCGGGCCGAAGCACAAACCATCTTACCTTTGCCAAAAATGCACACAGTTGTAATTGGCACAATACGCAAGAATGCCTAGGAAGCGATCACTATATCCTCGAAATTTCAATTGGCCTTCAGGCACAGCTAAGCAAATACAAAGGTCTCCGAGTCATGGAGTGGGACCGCCTTCGGGCGATACGGCAGCAAACGACTCCAGAAATTATCGTTGATCTGGACGCCTGGACCGCAGAGCTACAGGCGGATGTCCAAACGCACACGAGCGAGGTTGTCCCCGAAGAATCTGGACCAACAACAGAGATTGATAGTCGGCTGCTACACATGTGGCAAGCACGGAAAAATATGCAAAATCGCTGGATGGCACAAGGCAAGCGCAACCGTAAGCTACAGTTGGAAATCACAAAGTTAGGTCAAGATATCGCTAATCACGCAGACAAGCTCACATCTCAGCAATGGGATCAAGCCTGCAATCGCATACAAGGCAGCCTCGGTGTGGCCAAGACCTGACATCTACTTATGCATCTGTTAGACCCTGATGCAACCAAGGCCGAACATCGCTGCCAAGTGACTATACTGGGTGACCCAAGGAGCGGCCAGACTCTTTAAATCGACCACAAAATTCGGTTTCTTAAGCTATCGCGCTACGATTTTGTGCAGCGTTGCTCACAGATGGTGCTTTTTTTTTTTTTTTGTAAAATTTGCAAAGAGCAAACTTACCGGAGGAAAAAGTAAAGAATAAAAAAGGCTTAGCTCCTATGGAAACGCAGCGAAGCCACCGGTTTTCAAACAATACGGCGCCGCTTTGCGGCGCCGTATTGTTTGAAACGGGAGACAAGAAATGGCGCAAGCGGTCGCGATGCCAACTGCCGCCAACGAACGAACATACGGCGCCGAGAGCCGGCGTCTTCAGACGATATTTTCGACACAAAAGCGGCGCCAGTTTTTTTATATTAGTTGCCAATGCATTATTTTATCATCCTTACTAATAAAGCATTTTGAATAGACAGATAATTGATTTGAGTGGAGTGGGTAAACTTTATTTTAGCCTGCAGTAAAACGCGCGCTTGCGCGCGCGCTCCGGACGGGGCCTACATCGTCTTCTGGGCGCTGGGTCCCTGCCGGGCCAGCGCCCCGATGACCTGCTGGACGGCCCAGAGTTGTTGTTCTTGATTATCGCTCCCTGCGGCTGCTTCAAGTCGCAGCGGGATGCTCCCAGACTTTGATTCTTCCGGGTACTTGATACAATCCCACAGCATATGTGCGAAGCCGGCCGTCTCCCTTCGGCAGACTCTGCACTTGTCTGTCGGGTGCGCCTCGGGATACATTCTATGCATCAGCAACGGGCTGGGGAGTGAGCCCGTCTGCAGCTGTCTAAATAAAACGGCTTGTTCTCGACTGAGCCCCGAGCAAGGTGGTGGGAGAGTTCTGCGAGCTAGGCGGAAAGCCTTGGTTATCTCGTTGTAGTCGGTCATTCGGTCCTTGGTGCTGAACCACAGCGGCCAGTCGGTCGAGGCGCGGTCCGTTAGCGCCTCGGCATGTGCTGTCTCGTTGTGGTTGGCGTTTCGATCCGACGCCTCGCCCGCGTGCGCGGGGAACCATTTGATTCTCACTTGTTTGCTGCCGCCGTCGTTCTTGGTTGACTGCAGTATGCGCACCGCTTCCTTCGATATCATGCTTTTGGCATAATTCCTCACCGCCTGCCTCGAGTCACACAGCACCGTGTGGCAGTCGCGGTCGGCGATGGCCAGGGCGATGGCTACCTCCTCCGCTTGTTCTGCCTTGGTGCATCTCGTGCTGGCGGTCGTGCGAACGGTGCCGGTCGCGTCGACGACAACTGTCGTGAAACCGTGTAGCTTGGCGTATTCAGCCGCGTCCACGTAGCGTGCGTGTCCGTCGGCCGCGTGCTGATCTATCAGGGCCCTGGCTCTCGCCGCTCTCCTCCCTTTGTTATACTCCGGGTGCATGTTCCTCGGTATAGAGTCCACTCTGATGTTGTTCCTGATCTCATCGGGGATGGGGAGCTGCGTCCGCTCCCTGCCTTGGTAGCCAACTCCCAGGTTGTCCAGGATTTTCCGGCCGGCCTTGGTCGTAGACATGGGCGTACCAACCGGGGGGGCAAGGGGGGCACTTGCCCCCCCAGTTCTCAGAGTGGGGGGGCAAGGCATGCGTTTTGCCCCCCCTGAAACGGCCGCCACTGGGCAGAGCAGACACAGGCCGGCGGCGCCCAAGGAATACCAAGGGCACTGCCCCCCGACCCGCGCGGGCATATTTTTAACGCGCAGGCGATACAAACCCTAGCAACGGTGCTCACGCACGCCGGATTGGCTGGTTCGTAAAGCTTTGCTCCACGAACAAGGCTACACAATAACCTTACGGAATCCATCCGCGAGACATGGGCCGGACGGGCCGTCCAGACCAGGACGTAGGCCCTTACACAAAATAAAGTTTTGCTTGCTTGCTTGGAGATAGGCGCTGCCGCCGTCAACATAGGCAGCGGATGCAATGCCAGTTTCCGAAGAGGTAGCGTAACTTAGTGGTGAGATGTCTGCCTCATACGTGTCAGACCCGGGTTCTATTTATGGTGTGGGCCGGCTTACTTCTTTTTATTTTTTTTTTCTCGAACATTTTGTTTTGTCGAGGCATTTGGCGATATTTACATTTCTTTTTTACCATTAACACTAAAAAAACGAATGTTGTTGACGAAACATCGCTAAACTAAATCGTATCGACTCTATTTACGGAAGTGCATGTGGGGCAGCGGGGCTTGGGTTGCCGACCGGACGCCGCAAAGCGGCGTGTACGGGGGGTGGGGGGGCTAGGTGGGTTAATAGATTTGTAATTAGCAGCCGCACACCGTCACCGCGAAGCGGCGTGAACGCAGGCGCGGGGGTGGGTTAACGCGCTTCGAGTGATACACGAGCAGCCCATCCGGCGTGAGCGTCGTTGTTAGGGGTTCTATCGCCTGCACCGTAAAAGGAGCAGTGTGTGCACCTCCTGTAGTGGGCAAGAATTCCTACATTGGAGAGAAGCGGGGACAAGCCCTTTCTTCAAATGCGTCAAGTCTCCTTGAGCTTCGGAATACAAAGAAACGCCACTATTCGGAGCTAATCCCACAGTTACTCGACCTCTCTTGCGTCGTGTCTGTTCGCTCCCCGCGCCTCGTAGCAGTGTTGTTGCAGTGGGGGGCTCGTTAAAATTTTGGGGTTTTTTGGACTATATAAATCACTTTCTTCCTTCCCATCCCCCCCTTTTCTACTCCGCATGCTTCCCCCTCTGCAAATATCAGCTGACCTTCCGACCTCTGTTCTCTGTTGATAGGCAAAACAACCACTAAAATTAGAAAGTAATTTGTAATTTCAGTGGAAGTCACTCGGAAAAGTAGTTAAAGTAAACTACTGATTACTAGAATAGAATTGTAATTAAAAGTTACTAAACTACCCAGAAAAGTAGTTAAACTACAGTAACTTGAGTAAAGTAGTTGAACTACGTACAAGTCTGGCCTGGCAAGCGCTCTGCGTAAGTGTTTTCAGTGATCTGCCTAGCCCCGCACACCATCACATGGGCCAAGAAAGGTGTAGTTTTACTGCAGAGGAGAAATAAGCAGGGTCCAAGATGGTGACAATGGAGGATGGGGGACTGTTCCAGTGGCTGATGGCTTGAGAAAGGAATGACCAATTGAAAGAGTTCGTAGAGCCAGAAGTGTGTTTGATGGTGCAGACGTTGTTGAGGCGAGAAGATGTTCGGTCGAGGGGTAATAACAAAGTGGTTTTGAGGTCGGGAATGTGGTAGTAGATTTTGTGAATAAGGCACAGCTGAGAGACTTTCTTTCGAAGCTGCAAGGAGGACATGGTTAGTTCAGTTTTTAGCGCCGAGACACTGAAAGAAAAGTCATAAGTGGATGAAATGAAGCGAGCAGCTCTGTTCTGAACTGCCTCTACAGCGTATTGATGAGGTACAGTCGATGGGTATTCCAGATGGTTGAAGCATATTCTATTTTTGGTCTGACGTACGTGTTAAAGGCTAGCTTAGGGACAAAGGGTGGAGCGATTTTTTAAGTTACGTCTGCTTAGTCCAAGAGTTCCAGATGAATCGGCGGTAATGACTTCAATGTGGTTATTCCAGGGAAGGTCAGATGTTAGTCTTACACCAAGGTATTTATACACAGTAGCGGTCTCAATCAGATCGGAGTCCAAGAAGTAATTAAATGACAGAGTGGTTTTTTTCTTGGTGAAGTGGATTAGTTTGCGTTTATACTTGTTTGGTGACATAATCCACTCTTTGCACCAATTGTTAATTTTATCTAGATCTTCCTGAAGCTGGTTATTATTTTGCACACAAGTTACTTTGTTATGGATGACGCAGTCGTCGGCGAAAAAGCGTTTTTTTGAAGAAATCCCAATGGGAATGTCATTAATAAATATTAAAAAGAGTAAGGGCCCAAGTACGAACCCCAGGGGAACACCAGGAGATACATTTATTAAGGAAGATTCATGATCATGTTGGACGTGACCTGTACACGGGAAAAAAGAAAGTCACGAATCCATGCAAACGGTTATTGGTCGAGGCAAAAAGATGATAGCTTAGAAAGAAGGCGTTGATGGAGGACACGGCCAAACGCTTTGGAAAAAAAAAAAAAAAAAAAACTGCGTCAGTTTGGACGTGACATTCAAGGTTAGTGGGCAAGTCATGGATGAAGTCGCAGAGTTGCGTTTCGCAGGAAAGTACCTTTTGAAAACCGTGCTGCTGTTTAAAGAAAAGAAATGGGATGATAGGTGCCTCATGATATTGGAGTAGAGGATATGCTCAAGTAGTTTGCAAGAAATTGAAGTCAATGAATTAGGGCGATAATTAGATACGGAAGAGCGGCTGCCCTGTTTAAAGACTGGGAATTACCCTTCCCACCTTTTGGTCAGATGGAAGGCAGCTTTGAGATGAGGACTGAATGAAGATGAGTTTCAAATACTCACTAGAAATAACACGGGTGTTTCTTTTAAATTTTAGGGTTGATGTTATCGGTTCCAGCGGACGAAGTAAGTTTTAGTTTATCAATCAATGTTTTAATACCAGCGGAGTTAACGTTAATATGATGCATGCGCTCGTAAAGCTCTTCAGGGAGAGTGGGGACGAAGTCCAAGCACTCGTTAGTAAACACTGATGAAAAGTATTCGTTAAACACAGAACTATCATGCTCGACGTTGCACATCCGACATTCCTAACTCTCCCCATCTTCCTAAACGTCCGTGTGTGTCCTAACACCAGAAACCGGAATTTTAAAGGTTAAAAACGGCACGTTGCGAATATGGAACGCGCACTTTCATGCAAAGCTGACGTCAAGTGACTCAAATCGAAAAACATGCATATTTACAGTATTGTTATCTCTTCTGGTGAAGGCTAAACAACCGTTGCATCCGTTTTCGCGCACGAAACGGTGACTCCCAGAGAAAGTAAGAACGCAGTGATTGTCTTTATTTTAACAATGTAAACACACTTGCAGGCGTGCGCTGATGAAGCCTCAAAATCAAAACTCTCGTAGTGTGATTCGTGACTGCTCCGGACCCAACCTCGTTGTCACGCCACTTTCTGCAAGCAAACACTAAAATTGCCAGTAAACACACAAAAGCGACATCGATACAATTATCTTGTAGAATATCACCTTATTTAATCATAACTGTTTCAATAGGCACTACAAGTTGTATTTATTTTAAGAAGAAGAAGCAAAATTTTTTTCGTGAGAAAAAACAAAATATAAGTGTTAAGTCTGGTAACGTTGTAATTTTGCCGAATCATTGCCACATCTTTAGAAAACTTCGACAAAAGTTGCGCCGAATTTTCGATTAAGGGGGGGGGGGGGGGGGAAGAGGGTCGGGTTTGCCCCCCCACTCAAAAACAAGTTGGTACGCCACTGGTCGTAGATAGTCTTTCGAGTTGAGCGTTGCGTTGGGCTTCCGCTATCTCCTCTAGCGTATTGTGCACCCCCAGCTGCAGGAGGCGGTTGGTGCTCGTTGTTTCGAACAGTCCCATTGCCGTCTTGAAGGCCCTACGGATGAGTATATTTATCTTGTTTCTCTCGCTCTTCTTCCACTTGTGGTAGGCCGCCACGTACGCTACGTGGCATATGACAAACGAGTGGATGAGTCTGATCAGGCTCTCTTCCCTCATTCCACTTTTCTTGGTCGTGACTCGCTTGAGTAGTCTCGTGGCGTTTGCCGCTTTCGCTATGAGCCGGGTGACAGTGTCACCGTTTCTGCCGTGCGTCTCGATCGTCATTCCTAAGATTCTGATCTTGGTGACTCTTGGGATCTCGTTTCCTTCTCTGCTCTTCACTTTGATTGCCTCGTAGTTTCTCGGGCTGCTCTTGGGTTTGCGGTGCTTGACGGGCGGGTATACAAGGAGCTCCGACTTGCTCGGCGAGCACCTGAGCCCCGTTCCGTCAAGGTGGTCTTCGATCGCGTCGACAGCCGCCTGTAGAGTGGATTCGATGTGGGCATCGCTGCCCCCTTCCACCCACAGCGTTATGTCGTCCGCGTATATCGTGTGTCGAACTTCCTTGATGTTTCCGAGCCTTTCGGCCACTCCTATCATCACCAGGTTGAAAAGCATCGGCGAGATGACTGATCCTTGAGGTGTGCCTGTGCTTCCCAGCTTCTTCTCTTGCGCTTGGAGATCCCCCGCTCTGAGCTCGGCAGTTCTGTCCGTGAGAAAATCTTTGATGTATTTGTATGATCTCTCTCCCATGTTGAGTTTCGAGACTTGGCATAGGATCGCCGAGTGCTTCACCTTGTCGAAGGCGCTCTGCAGATCGAGTCCCAATATCGCTTTGTTGTCGCTGGTGTTGCCGTCGATGATCTGGTGCTTGAGTTGAATCATTGCGTCTTGGGTACTGAGGTGCTGCCTGAAGCCGATGATCGTTTCCGGGTAGAGGTCCTCTTTCTCGAGGTATTCCTGCCACCTCTTGAGCAGGACGTGCTCCAGCACCTTGCCCATGCAAGACGTGAGCGATATGGGTCGGAGGTTGTCGGTGTCTGGTGGCTTGCCCGGCTTGGGGATCAGGATAGTCTTGGCCTTCTTCCACTGCGTCGGCAGCGTTCCCGTTTTC